TCTCAAATAGTACAAAAGTACATTAAAGAACGATTCAGCTATTTGTAGACTTAGATATCAGATGAGGTTTTTTTTCCCCCCTTTTTGTTTCTCTTTCCGTATTTTAATTTGTTAATCACAATAATGATTGAAATCATATTTGAATACTGCTATATATTGCTAGTATTGTCTTATTTTTGTATTGTACAAGTGTGCTTCTAATTTTTCTTTAAGATTATCTGCATGTATTTGTTGTAATTGTTGCTTTGTGCATAAGACTTAAGTAACTTTATAGTTTAATTGACTATAGCCCTGTACCATAAAGAGCTATGATTGAATGTATTTCCCCCAAATTAATTGCACCTCCTTCGATCAGTTGTAACTTTACAATAGGCCTGTCTTCATCAGCTCAAGTTTGCCAAATAACCCCCTATTTTCAGACTCTGGATATTATCCCGAATCTCAAAGTTGCATCTTCACCAGACCGATACGCTCACCACAAACTAGCTAAGACGGGTGCAAATTAGCCCGCTATTTCCCCAAAAGCGAGATATTTTGGAAACAAGACCAAGAATTCTCAGGATATTTTCACGACCAAATATCCCGCTATTTGCAACTGCGGGCTGATGAGGACGCAAATTAACAGGCTAATTTGCGATCGGGATAGTTAACATAGCGGGCTATTTGGCAAACTTGAGCTGATGAGGACAGGCCTAATGAATGATTTCGTTTAATTGAATGTTACAAATCTATACATCCTTACAGCGCTTGATGAGGTTCAATTATTTGTAGTAAGGTTGGAGAGAATATTTTTTTGTTCTTGATTTAAGATGAGTTTTATGTTACATGGCCTAGGTTCATCATGGAATGAAATACCGTATTTTACTTTGTAGACTGTATTTTACTTTGTAGACTGTATTTTACTTTGTAGACTGTATTTTACTTTGTAGACCGTATTTTAGCTCTATAGATTTTTGTTCTTGCCTAAGATATCTTAGAAAGGTAGATAGAGAGAGGAAAAGAGAGAGGGAGGGAGAGAGAGTGAGAGAGAGAGAGAGAGAGATAGAAAGAGAGGGGTGGGTTGGAAAGTAAAAAGGAATGGAGAGAGAGAGAAAGAGAAAGAGAAATACTGAATAGCTTGCAATTATACGAATATAAATTCATTGTTCATGGTTTACAGAAGAAATGTTAGCCAGATGTTCCATGCAGTGTCTTCAAGGTTTGTTCATTGTAAGCAGGTAAACCTAGACTAGAGTTAGTCAATTAACAGATAAAGTGTGCCAAAATGTCCTCTTCAGTTTCATATATTAAATTCAAATGCTGACAATCAAGTCTAAACAGTGTATGGGCTATTTTTCAAATTGTTCATCTGTATGTAATCTTGTTTTCATGTCTCAAAGCTTGTATTTCTTGTAGAAATTATGATTGCTCGAGTCTGCTGCAATTGCGACATGATTCGATAGACAATGAAGTTTAGTATTGCACCTAACTATGGGACCTTTTCAGAAACAGGTTTCAGTAATGCTATGATGCAACCTTCAAATCTTGTTATTTAAACTTTGTTGTCAAGCAGTAAGGCCAGTGTAAAACCTCAATTGTTTGTCTTTGTTTCTTTTTGTCTTGATTGAATATATATCTAATGCCACTGTTAATTGTCACATGTGCTTAATTGCTTGTATATTGATTTGTATTATGCTTAGCTAAGTTAACAATTCATTGATTTATTTTATTTTCAAATAACTTCATTGATGCTTTATTTTGTCCAATGACTTGCTCCAGCATACAAATTTATATCTTTTGCCACAATGCTATTGTTAAATTGTCTCTTCTGTTTTATTTTGTTTTAAATTTCTATTTGAATGTTATGTACGACACCCATGTAATTGTTCAATCAGTGATTTGATTGATTTATTATCACATTTTGAAAAATGAAATCATATCTACTCATGTATACTTTTTTTAATTCTCTCATTCATGTTGAATGAGTATTATCATTTAATATTTTCTAAGCTGTTTTCACGTCTGTGTTTAGGGAAGTGTCCTTTATTACCATTTTCATCTCTGCAGAAATAATGTCTACATTGTCCAATTGTAAAAATGCACCATCACTGTCACTTTACAATTGGTCGTATTATAATAAACAGTTTTGCCATAGTACATTTTGATGAAGTAGCCATATCTTTTGTATAAAAGAGTAATAAATTGCTCCAAGAAAGCATGATTATTGAATCGTCGGCATTCTCCTTCAATTGTGTCTTGTGTTATATAAATATTATTTGTCTTATCAACATATATATTTAATACTGTATGTTTGTTATTTTATTTAACTTTTTATTTGATGTACTATTGACGTATGTCTTTCTCCATCTCTTTTATGTTGTGTTTTCTGACTCCTCTTTCCCCCACTTCTCCACACTCTATATATAATGTATGTGTAACCCCTCTCCTTTCCTATTTCCCTCCAATACGTTCACTCTGTCTCTCTAACTTTATCCCTTTTTCTCTCTCTCTCATTATTTTCTCTGTCTCATGTTCTCGAATTTTATTTCTTTTCTGAAATAAAGTTGACCCCCTTCTTCCATATTATAAGTATTTACATAATATATGCATGTATCTATTTTCTTCCTCTATCTCTCTCTCTCTCTCTCTCTCTCTCTCTCTCTCTCTTCCTACCTCCCTCTCTCTTTTCCTCTACTCTGTCATTTTTTCTCAAACATTTACATTTACTTTCCACTATACTTGGAATATTACCATATTGCCATTACCTTCCCTACGTACAGGTTTTACTATCTCTCTTTTTTTTTTAAATGTCTTTTCCTCACACTCATTCTATCTATCTATCTCTCTTCCTATCTCACTCTGTCTCTGTCTCTGTCTCTCCCTCTCTCTCTACTTTAATATATACCCATATATCTATCTTTCTGTATACCTATCTGTGTGTCTATCTTTTTATTTATTTATATCATTCTCTTCCTCTCTGTTTCTCTTTCTCTCTGTGAACCTTTTTGCTTTACTGTTTATAATTTCCTTCCTTTTTACACCATTTTATATATTTTGTCTGTCCACCTTATGCCTTTCCCATCTTAAATATATATATATATAGAGAGAGAGAGAGAGAGAGAGAGAGAGAGAGAGAGAGAGAGAGAGAGAGAGAGAGAGAGAGAATACACTACTGTCCATTCAGTTCATGCAAATCAAACACCATATCACGTTTCACAGATTAGAGATAATTCTGCACACATTTATTACACAGCATATGTACAGCTTTGAATATAATACACCTAAATGCTTGAAGAAGTTCGTAATTTTACTATCAACTAAATGAAGCAGTCAGCTCAGTGCTTTGTACACCCAAACAAACATGAATCCGTATTCTACTAACTCAATAACCCCGGCCATTGGTCTAAGATCTCGTTTAGAGAAGGAAAACTTAGACCTCGGAGTGTCTTCCATTGTTAAACTCGACTTCGAGCAAAACGGCTCACGCAGCGTCGGGTTTAAATTTGAGTAGAAAACGAGTTCAGTTATGAGCATCCTACATGTATGAAACATTTCGGCGAACAAAATTTTCAGTCATTTACATCGAATATACCTACAGAGACTGGTTCAAATATTCAAATTTAATGCATACTTCTACTGCAATGGCTAATAAGAACATTCATAAAGCTTGTCAGAGGAATGCCCGACATAAAAAAGAGTATACACACTTTTCTCACTGACACTTCTTTCACCACCTGCAAATAAAAATAGTTTGAAAGAAATTGAAGTAACAGTTTTTGCAAATGTTTGTTATTTTTCACTTACAAATACAATACGTTTAATTGATATCTATATTAGACATCACAAAGAAAAGGAGAAAAAACGCAAATTGTTTAAGGATACAAAATCATGGTGATAGGCTACTTACAACATGATGCGAAACGCTCATATTTACAAGATTGTATGCTATCTACACTTTGGGTGAAATGACTAAACTTCGTTTCGTTATTAAGAGAGTGTAAGTAAAGTTAAGAATTAGAAGAAAAAACCACATAAATAATCATTGTACAGAGACACCCTCATTAACCTGAATAAAATGGTTAAAACAATGCCCTGTTGATGAATATTGCACACTGAATTATCATAATAAAAAATATTGCACTTATGTTCTCGGCTTGAATTATCTAACTTTTCTGAAACGATATTTTTTGTCAGTATTTAAAAAAAATTAAGTCTTTCAATAATTTTTTTAGTACTAGATAATTTCACCCATATATGATTTTATCTGTACGCATTTGTTTAGTAAATGCTTGTCAAATCTATAAAAAGGATTACAGCTATCTATTCAGCTTAAACAAAATAATAACATATTATAATACAGCTGGCGAAAAGTATCATACATACATCTGCTTCTGCAACGTCATAATATGCGCTTGATGTGACAACATGCTTAAACAAAGAGTAGATGGCTCTTTCAAACTTTCATCAGCCCAGCACCAATTCAATATTTTCTTGCAACATATTATGTTGTCAAAAATTTTACCAAAAAACCCTCAAACTTCTCGAACTCTGATCCATAATTTCATTACTCATGAAAGTGGTGCTTTTTCGCCAAAGGATGTTAGGTGTCCTTGTTACGTTTCTTGATTTAACCGTACCTACTAGGCCCATATTCACTTCGGTCTAAACGTCGTGATGTGACTAGCGAATTTCCCATTGTGAATTTACGACAACATCCATCGTGACATCGTGATGTGGTAAAATCGAGCGTCCTTATGGTTCGAATTTTCAATGGTCCGCATTCTACTAATTCATTTAAACCCGACCCCGTGTCTGAAATCTAGTTTAATAAAAAAAGAAAAATTTGACCTCATAATAACGTCCTTTCGTGGAACCCAATTTTCAAAAAAGGGGAAGAAAAATGGCTTAAAACTAACCTCGGGTTCAAATCTTAGTAGAATACGGGCCACATCACATGTTTCTTTTTCGAAAATGTACGATTTTTTTTCTGGATGTCGGTTGGAAAAAAGGTGGAACTACTTCTACCGAGCCATTTTACAGATGTAATGGACGATGTAATCTCCGTGGGCGTCTGTCATATCGAACCAAAGTCCTTCGTGGTTGATCTCGACGCTCATCTGTGCGTAATCCTCGTTGCCACCGTTGTTGTTGGGTTCGCCCGCCCGCCAGTTGGCGTAGTCGAGATTCGTTCCATCGGACCAAGTCCAGAATCCTTCCTGCTTCTTGTCCGTCAAACCGAGCCATAGACGTTCATCCTTCAAAGAAAAGTCAAAGAAAAATTAATATGGTAATTGCAAGTGACAAGGGATGTCCTAATTAAAGTAAAGGAGGTCACTTTTTAGGTGGAGGCATATAATATCCTGATGTTTATCTTTATTTTTTCTATTTCCATCAAACAGCTCCATTTTAAACGTTTCTCTGTAGGGGTTTATCATGGTTAGATTATTGATAGAAAATTGTTGGAATGATTCTATCACTATCCTTGACTTTGGTATTACATTATAAAATTTCGATCATTATTTGCATACTTGATTTCACTTTTATTTGTTTGATACTCTTTTCTTATGTGTAAATTTGTCGAAACACTTAAGACATTCGACCAATTTATCTAATACTAGCACTTTCTTCGTTTCCTAAATATTGATTATTATATATATATTGAAATTTTGGTAATTATAATACAATATAATAATACGAACATATATGGTGATTCAAACGCATTTGTGGTTCTGAACTAAATTCCATGATACTGTAATTTAAGTTGACATTCATGCTCATCAACACTGATCAAATGGTTTGTCTATCTCATGTGGAATCAATTCAAACATGACCACAGACGATCACAACATTATGCTGCTTTCAATTACTAGTAGCCTTTGATCTACAGAATTAGAATGAAATATCCCCTAAATCATATCTGCACGCGCTCGCTTTTATATCTCTCAAATTATTATGTTACAGAGAAAATTATTCTGCTATTGAAACCGCACTTATTTGTTCAATGGGGATTGTAAATTGTCCTTTCTTTTTTGATTACAGCTTTATAGTGCAAATGTGTTGTCTAGAAGCAATAATGACATGCAAATATCTCTCTACAGCTTTTAACATATTTTTTCAAACCTGGCAATGCCTTAGTCCCTCCCCCCCCCCCCCCCCCCCCACCCCAGTTTGAAAAAAACATCTGCCGCTCCTGCCTCCCCCCTGAATATAATTCACGACCCCCACAATCGATTTCTTTTAGAATACACGAATTATCGTAATTATACGGGTAAATTTTTCATACCCTCACTCCCCCTTTAATCTGAGGTCGAGATACGCTACTGGTTATTACACTTACCCTAATGGGGCCGATAGCGGGCGGTAGTTTATTCCTGACTGTGTCGAAGTATGAAAAGAGGAAATCATTTTCGTCCTGCGAATGAATGGACACCAGATGAGCTTGACCGGTCTGCCCCATGCATCCACCGGCACCGAACGTCCGGCAGTAGAATTCCGCTTCAAGCCATGTCTTCACATCGTTGAAATATCTGTTGATGGAAGAGCAGCAGAGAAGAGATTGAAAATAATGACTTCCTTTATAAATTTACAAAATATTACGTAGTAAGCGATCCGACATTTGCTCCAGCAGCTTTTACTTTTTTTTAATCCGTGCCTTTTTTTCGTCCATGATATATTGATCGATTGGTTTACTCATTCACTTAAAAACACAGTTACAAAAACCTCACCCAAACCAAACTGGACAAATACAATCAAACACAACAAACCAATACACAACAAACTAACTTACAGATGAATAGCTTCCTAAAAGGGTTCATAAAAGGGCTTTGTTACAAAATACAATTATTTCCAATGATTAGAAAACCCTGCAATGTGCTTATTCCATAACGATTCCCCAGTCACGCAATACTAGCAAAGCAACATTTCTTTGTCATTGCACATTCATATACTTCTGTTTTTTAAAATAAATATTCTTTATCTCCATTCTGTTTTCTACTTTCTTTCTCTTTTTATGCTCTCTTGATAAAAAATATTCATCATGAGGACTGCCGCGAGACATCAGGAAAAGTACCGACGTTGAAGATTCTAATTAAAGAAATATGACGGCACACAGACACTCAGGTGGATTAAACGTGTCAGTTATCGACCAACAGACTTTGCTGCTAAAGATGGCATGCTCATGATGGCATGATTATGAGTAGTTGTTATCTTTGAATCATCAAATAATTAAGTTTAACCAGTGTGTATGAACTGGTTAAGAGAGTTAAGAAAGAAAGAATGGAAAATTACACCTTGTTTCCCAGTGATCTGTAGAGATCAGTGTATTACCAAGGAGTTAACTCCTTGGTATTACTATAATAAATCTGAACGGCTTAGAATTGAAATAACATTATTATGGAGGAAAGAGGCAAATGAGGTAAAAATGTAGGAGTGGAAAGAACAAAAACAAAATATGTAAGAAAATCACTTTGAACGAGAATACGTTTTTGAAAACGGGTTGTGTTGATATTATTGAGAAATCATTTAAAAAAAAATCATTTGTTATTTGTTATCCATTTCATCTATGAAATTATGTACATAGTAAAACATAAGGCTAAAACATACACTGTAATACCACTTTATTACAGTCTTTACAGATTATTGTAAAGTTTTTCCAATTTTGGGAGAAAATATAAACGCATGTTTCTTGAATAAAATGTTGGCCAATATAAAATATATTTCAGCGAATATAGAATTATATCAGCCACTATTGAGTTTAAGTTATCTAACATTAAGTACACTTTCCCTAAGATTGTGTAAATTGTTATTGAAGTACATGAAGGCCTACAATATAATGCTTCACTGTATCGACATGCAAAGTTTGACTGCGTTGACTGTCGTTTTGACCTTGCCTGTATACAACTAGATAATAGGGACTTTTAGATTTGCACAACGACAACGTGGATTGCTACGATCGACGTCCTTTTAATGCACTGCCTTGAATGGACGTCACACGTATCAGTCCACGCAAATCTAAAAGTCCCTATTATTAAAGGATCTCCTCTTTGTATCTCAAGGTGTTGAGGGCGGTAGACACTTAATGACGTGTAGTTCCACCCTTTCTGGGTGAATTCCTAATCTCACCTTCAGTACATATTTTTATTAAACGATGGTAGAGACTTTCAAGAAATCAATGAAAGCAACATCAATACGCTATAGTATATAACATAAAAATTATGTTCGTATTACGTAATGATGTAATTGTCGTGTTCGAAAATTTCTCTAAGTAATGGACATCATCTTACTTTTAATTTCTTTCGAAGTCCTTGCGATTTTATTTTGTATAGAGCAGTGTGGCATAGTGGTTCATTCACAAGACTCCTGATTAAAAGGCTGAGGGTTCGATTCTCTGCCCGGTTGTATGCCCTTAGACCAGGCATTGTATTTAAATTTGCCTCTCTCCACCCATGTGTTAAATATACATGCAATAGTTACATCCAGCCGTCAGTTAGTGTGGCACATTATATTGAGATCCACACACTTTTTTTGATAGAGGTCACAAGGGGACGCAATGACGCACTCCAAGACGTCTGGTGGTTTTCCCTCACTTTTTTTTTCTCGTGGCAATGAAAGCATCAACTCCAGATGACCGTCCAGACTTGAGTGGAGTTGTCATAGCGTCTAAATAGATTCGTTTCGACGTAAACTACGCTAAAGAGTTTTATATTTAGACCAGGCGACCTCACCGTCATGACTTGGCTCCTAAATATAGTCCTAAAATAAATATCGCCCTGACTTGGATCCAATAGTACTAATTATACCCTGCACTTGGCTAGCCAATAACAAATTTGACCGTGATTCCTGTCTTTTGTGTTTCTAACTGTAATACTTGTACTTGTTCAATGTCAATGTAATGTTCAATGTACGTGTTTTTTGTAGCCCGTGTACGGTTTGGCATTAGATTTAAACAAAATAAGTTAGACGGCTGAAAATTGCATTCCATAAAGTGCAGTGCAGTAATAAACTCGAAAGAAACACAAAGGAACCACAAATTATTTTATTTCGAAACTTTATGGCTCAACATTACCTCAATAAATCAATCACTGTCATGTCGGTTTTATTTATTCATGAAAAACCTTGAGAATGTTTCTGTATCTCAATTGGATAAGAGAATCCTTTTAACATTATGCATGCAACAGATTGTACAATAATTATTGCGAGTCTTGCTCGTTCGGTGATGTTTTAATCGTTGTGTGTCCTAACTCTAGGAGAACAAAAAATAATAGGAAGAAACCCAAATTATGCCTACTTCCTATTTCTACTCCTTCCTGTTTTTATTCTTCATAACCTTCCAGCTTCCGGCATACTTAAATAGCAACATCCACCGACTTAACTAATGCATATTCATCTCTTAATTACCAACAAAGTTGTTTTCCTTACGCACTCTACTGTACAGTGATCAAATTAGTAATTACTGAAGGGGAGGGGTATACGGGAGGTGGGGGGGGGGGGGGGGGGGGGGGGGGGGGGGGGGCGTATTCTAATAAAACATACGGAGGGAAGGTATGGCGTTGCTATAGAATGTGGTTTGTCTCGTTATTCTTGTCGGCTTATACATTCATTATGTGACCTTTTTTTTTTTTTTTACATTCTTCGCTAAAATGAAAAATCGACAATAAGTCAGAAACCATTTATTACAATTTTTGTTTAAACCATTGTCGACAAATGTCAAAATGTAAGAGTTTTTTTTTTATCCTTGTTGAAAAATTTGAATTTGAGAGCCTTCTTGGCTGTTGAAATTTGTTTTTCTTCCAACAAACTTCTCAGCAATTTTTGCCACCAACAACCCCCTCTCCCATCCCTTACTCTTCTTCCAACATTGTCTTGCTGTGATGCCCACTAAGGGAGGGGTTGCAAATATATTTCTTGAACATTGTCCCTAGAGCATACAAGGCATCGGAAGATGACACGTGGTGCTCCAGAAATAGATATGCATCAGCGAGGAAATCTTGGAACAACCACATGCGATTAGTAATACAGTTATATATATTGTCTACAATTTAAAATCTGTCTCCTAAATGTATGCTCAGATATTAGTCAGACACAACACATCTGTTGCATTGTGCCATTTGCGTGACACTCTTTCTCCCAATGGTTTAATTTCATTACTTCTCTTCCTCCTTCACCTTCTTGTCCTCAACTAAATTCAATATTTCATTCTATTTACTGACGGTAAATTGCTTGTGATAGTTGAAATTATACAATGGCGCCTACTTGAGTACTAGCAGTGTAATATATTCTTCACCGTGTCTTGAAGTGAAATTATAAGTTTTTATGCGTCTTAAAAGGAAACTTTGATTACTTGTAGGGGTAAAAATGACTTGTTATAATTGTGTCTTGTCCATTCTATAAGGAATTGATATGCCACACGAAAATATATCGCTCCTAAAATGCCCTCAAATGAAGAATTTGACCAGAAATAATTTATAACTTAGATCAAGTGATTTTGCTACGTGCCTGTGCATTTTAATAAAACCATGTACATGTTTATATCCAGCGCTTTTGCATTATGTAAATTTAATCAAAATATATATAGGAAACAGAAACATTTTCAATACAATACACCCTTTCACGGTTAAGGCCGCCATTTTAATCTGCGACTAAACATTGCGTCATCAATGTTTTCAGATGTGCATGTCTCGCTGCGTCACTGCCTGAAATGGGCGCCATCTTAAATTACTCGTAATTGCCCATGTCAGCGCATTCGCGTTGTTGTAACCGTGAAAAGGGTATATTGCGCGACCAATATTCAACATCTCTCTTGCGTTTCTAGAACTCTTTTATTAAAAGCAAAAGTCGAATGAAACGAACTTCAATATCTTCTCAGAGATCAAACTTGGATGTGTATTTCCAAATTAGAACGTGAGAGCAATGATAGTTTTTGATAGTTTGGGGGCTCCAATACAGGAGGAAACTGCAGTTTATCACATCTATCTATGGATGCCAGTCGTACCACTCCCTACCCCTCTCACGTTACTCCTCCATCTGTCACTCAACCCCTGTAGCTCGCTGCATATATCTACTTAACTAATTATTATAATCACCGTTTACTATTATCTCCATGCAGCCCGAAGCTGAATAGCTTATCTACATAACCTAGGACTAATTTAACCCCTAATCGTAAGGTGCCATTCTCACGATTTAAGTCGACGTAACGTGCTCTGATAGACGCCATTTTGGGACTTGGGGATATAGATTGCTTAAGTCTGAACGCCTGCTAATGGCAAGATAACGAATACGTAAGTAAGGATATGCTACCATACTTTATAACTCAGTTGTTTTCTGAGACCACGAACACACTGAATTCAAGGTAGGGCAAACAGTAATAAATTCTGTTATGATGAATTCAAGACTTATTATGAGCTTATATAGTCATCATTTATAATTATAGTTAAGCATAATTATGTTCGTTTGTTTCATTGGCACATGGACACAAAGAATACGAGTACACAGGCTTTTTGAATGTATGTTACATTTCCAGAACAATTAC